CATGCTAGTGAGCAAGCCCAAAACACCTGTGTCCTTCCCATTCACAGACAGATGTGTGTATGGACCCATGCCAATTGGAGGTGTCCACACCAGCTTTCTCCAACATATTCCACAAAGCCTAGAGCTCCATAGAGCTGACTTTGGGCTTGCACTAAACCCCAGTCCCTGCGGTCTAAATGTTTGCTCTAAACTTTGTTTCATGGCTAATCACCTGATGATTTCCCTGAATAAAGATCTAATGTTGGTTGCTGTTGCTGGGGTAGGACTTCATGACAGCATACAGCTGTGCAGCACAGCTGGGAATGGGAAATCCCCCAACTAACTTCCTTCCCACTGAACGGACTGACGTTTTTCTTTTCTCTGCACCGCAGAGAAGCAGGACATAATGGGAATCTGTTATCTTTCCATGAACGGCAGGATGATAATCCCTTTCCTAGTAAATATTCTTGTGGCTTGATCCTGCAGGGCACTAAGCAATCCCTGCTCTTCCCACCACCACCCCCACCACCCCACCCCCCTTTCAACTCTAGTAAGGGTTTAAGAATGAGCATTGACATTGGTGAACACATGTGATCGAAGCTCATGTAAGAATATGTTTAGATGAACACACAATGCTAAGCAAGGTTCAGACTGAGATACTGCTTTGCCCTTCTGCCTAGAAACCTGCAGGAGTGAAGCAGCGCAACTTGCAGAGCAACTTCCCTATTCATGCTCAGGATTTATATGGTTTGCTTTCCTCTTCTTAAATCTCTCCTAGCAAAGCTTTGTTCCAAGATGATTAACAGATGTTGTCATTATAAAGTTGGTACTTGCCAACAAAGAACACATGGGTCTGCTTGAGAAACTGCTGTTTCCACAGCTTGCCCCAAGAAGAGATACTTGTGGTAACTGGGAAAGCCTGTGAGAATACGACATTTTAAAGTATCTTTTACCTTCCATAATTTCCTAAGAGAATGCTGGTTTCCTGAGAATTTGTTTAATTTGTTTGTATGAAATAATTTGGATAAACACATGATACAGAATAGAAAATTAAGCCCATTATGATAAGGGGGTATGCAGTGACTTTTTTAGATAACAATGAATTTGCCAAGCAAAGACTTATTTGTAACAAGGGGAAACAAAAAAACCTCAGTGGCAAATAACAGCCATGTATTTTAATTGAAGACATAAAATGAACGATTAACTGATAAGCAGAAATGCTTCTCAAAGGCTAGAAGGTGACCAACAAAAGAATGGGATTTTACTATCCATTATAAAATGAGCTGAAACATATGGCCAGCAATCCCCACCCCCCCCAAAAATTGGGGAAAAGGATATCTGGCTGGAATATACAAGTACAGTCACCTGTGTGTTTACTTACCAGGCACACACTGTAATCTGAAAGCAAGGAGCCAGCAATTTGGAAAAGCAAACTGGGAAGATGGCAGTGTACCCTGTCTGCAGAGATCCTTTAACAGTTATGAACAGAAATGTTTGAAGAAGTTTAGCTAGAGATTGATGAAACTCCCTGCAATTTACTGCTAGTGAAAATGTGATCTTTTTTCCTGGCAGGTGAAAAGGAATGAGTGTGTGGTAGGTTTTCAGAAACTACTTAAAAGCAATCGAAGTCTTTTGCAATGCTCTCAACATGTAAATTGGAAATATAATTTTCACATAGGTTTCATATAAAGGACAGATGTAGTACATTTTTACTACATTCTAAATTCAGTATTTTAGTGTCTGACACTGAAATCCTTTCCCCTCTTTTCTCTTTTCCATGGATCTGTTGTTAAAAGCGTGATGGCTCTGCCAAGAAGTCTGTGTTTTGAAAGGCTTTCATTCCTCTTTTATTCCTTTTGTTCTACTGTATGATTCCATGCTACAACATGTACTGATGAGATCAGTGGCATTTAAGAGCTATCACTTGTGTCTCATCGCTACCTGCTGTAGTCAGTAAGAATATTCCCACTGACTTTACTAAGCCTCAAATCAGGGTTTTACTTGGGATTTAGCTTTAGCTTTAATTCATGTCTCAATTCTCTGTGGACTTCAAGCAAGCAAGTCATAGTAAACATTGTCATGTTCCACTTCTCCAAAGCCATGGTTAGATGTGCTTCACAGGTTTTAAGTTTAGGAAATATAACAAAGTCAGAGGCTGTACAATTGGAAACGCCATCTTACAGACATGCAGCAAGAGGAAATTCAATTAATCCAATGTTTGTTTATTTCTTTACCATACTATTAAAGCAAAGAAGCTCTATAATGAGATTACTGCATTTTATCTCCTAATTGTATCCAGATATGCAAACCAGATTTACTGCTCATGGCTTGTATATACTGCAATATTTTAAAGCTAATTATGAAACAGCATCACTATTGTCACACGATGAAAATACTCCTTCTTGCTGTTATGAATCAATACCATTTTCTAGAATTTATTGTAACTACCTTTTTAATTGGATACAAACCCCAGTAAATTCTGAAACAGCCAGTTATGTAAATATAACTCTTTTAAATCCAGGATGGTATCAGCATAAAATATTATAATTAATTAGACTGAAAAAAAAAAAAAAAGAAAAATGAGACCATAAGGTAGTTGGAACAGGTTGCCCCAAGAAGTGGTAAATGCTCCGTCCCTGGCAGTGTTCAAGCCCAGGCTGGACAGAGCCTTGGGTAACATGGTCTAGTGTGAGGCATCCCTGCCCATGGCAGGGGAATTGGAACTAGATGATCTTAAGGTCCTTTCCAACCCCAACCATCCTATGATTCTCTGATTCTGTTATTAAAGCCAGCTGTATATCAAGCCTTGGAAATACTCAAGTTTTTATTTAAACACCTGAAATCTTCCATTGTCCACATAAGCATGTGTACACATCCTCCAAACCCAGGGTATTAAAAGTTTAATTGTTCATTGAAGAGTAGTTAGCACCTGGCTTTTGTTTGTATTATTCCACATAGAGAGGAAAGCAAATCCCCAGGGCCCAAAACATCTAGCAATCTTTTCATTGCTTATGTATATAACACAATAAACAATACAGAAGTTAAGCAAGTAGTTTTAAAATAACATTGCATTAAAGTTCTTCTGTTCAAAAACACTGGTAAATGAATGGTAAAATCTTTACTTGATCTGTTAGTTGTAATTCCATAATGATTCTTAAAAACACTGGCACTGTGTGATCATACCTCACGTACTGTGATCACACAGCTTGTCAATGCAGATTACATTTCAGGTATTTATAACCTAATCTAACACTTTGCATAGATTTCAAAGTACATGTTGAAGCTTGGTTTCCCTGAATTTGTTATATTTGTGAATATAAGTCTTGACTCCAAACTAATCACAGCATGTTTGCAAGTCTCACTTGTATATGGGATTCCTTTTCCCACTCTCCACTTAATGGCAAAAAGACAAGGAAGAGGCACTTGTTTATCTCAGTAGACTAAAGCAGATTTAAACTTACCTGAGTTCCAGCTATCTTAAAGAATTATTTTCCCACACTATTATACCTGTATTTCATGTAATGGCACCAAATTGCATCCAAACCACATTATACTTACACACGCTATGGTAATTAAAGCAGTTACATTTTGATGAGCTGAAATGAATCAGAACTTCTAGATATGATACACCAATAATAAAAAGTATTTAGAAACATCTTACTTCCTACTGAGTTACTGTAATAAGGACTTACCCATGTATTATATTGCCAGTATGTTGGTGGAAGTTAAGTTAATTCTGATGCTGATTGTAGGTTTGATGACATATTATCCAAGTAATTTCATTAATAAATATAGCAGAATCATATTGGAGGCTATCAAGGAATTTTAATTAAGCAGCTACTTGCCACTACAAAAAACTCAATACTTCATGTGCTTTTTCAAGAATATATACTTTCAGCCAACTCTTGATCATCCTTCAGTATCATTATGCAAGAAACACTTTTAACACTTAGCACAGTCTATGAGGACATTAATTTTCCATTTATTTGAAAAGCCTACCTTACCTAGGAAGGCTTTTACAGCACTTCTGTGATGTAGATTTCACTGGAGATATTAGTCACTCTAAATTTGAGAAGGTGTGGCAGTCAAGTGACATTCCCACTGACTGGAAAAGGGGAAACATAATCCCCATGCTTAAAAAGGGAAAAAATTGGGGGTGCTGTTTGACGAGAAGCTCCCCTTGACGCAGCAGTGAACGCTTGATGCCCAGAAACCACCCTTGTCCTGGGCTGCATCCCCAGAGAGTGAGCAGCAGGTTAAGAGTGGGGAGTCTCCCCCTCTAATCTACTGTTGTGAGACCCCATCTGGAGTACTATGTCCACCTCTGGGGCCCCCAACACAAGAGGGATGTGGAGCTGTTGTAGTCCAGAGTAGGCCATGTCAATGTTGGAGAAGCTCTGCTCTGGAGACAGGCTGAGAGAGCTGGGCTTGTCTAGCCTGGAGAAAAGGGAGACCTTAGAGCAGCTTCCAGTGCCTAAATGGGGCCTACAAGAAAGGTGAAGAGGGGCTTTTGACAAGGGCCTGTAGTGACAGGACAAGAGGGAACGGCTTTAACCTGACAGAGGGGAGATTGAGATTAGGCATTAGGAAGAAGTTCTTCCCTGTGAGGGTGCTGAGGCGCTGGCACAGGGTGCCCAGAGAAGCTGTGGCTGCCCTATTCCTGGCAGCCTTCAAGGCCAGGTTGGACACAGGGGCTTGGAGTAACCTGCTCTAGTGGAAGGTGTCCCTGCCTGTGGCAGAGGTTGGAACCGGATGAGCTTTAAGGTCCCTTCCAACCCAAATAAATCTGTGATGATATGAGTCTATGATAAATTTTATCTGCATACCAAGTGTTAAATTATATTGGGTTACTGTCTGTATCACTCTATTTTTACTGCATCTCTTCAGATTAAGATTCAAATCCTTTCAGTTAAGTAGGATTTTGACAGTAATTTAAGCAGTGCAAGTCTGAGCTCTGTCCACCTAATTGTGACATTTATGAATTTCTAAGATCTGTACGTGCCTATAGAAACTTTATTTACCTGCTGTGTGAATCCTGTCACCGGATCCTTGACAGCCATCTTCATCATCACAATCCCCACTTGACTCGAACTCTTCACTTCTTCCACCACCACTGCCAGCATCTTGGGAAGCCCATCTTTCCAGTTTTAATTTTGCCTTCTCAGCATCCAGCTAAAATGGAAAAAGTGAAAAACCAACAACGGTCAGAATATTTAAACACTTCCTACCTTTGGTGACCAAGCTGGGTTGCTAAAGCAACAAGCAGTTTCTCATTCACTTTCAAGAACAGCTCCTCAAGTTGAAAGTTGTTTCTGGCAATGACATCCTAATATTTAGGGATAACAGACTATACCAGCAAATTTTCTCCACCACAGATGATGAGGGACACTTATCATCAAACTTTTAATAGAAAGCACCGCATCCAGCAACGTCATCACAAAGAGCTCTGGTACTGCAGCTTTTCCTCTTGCTAACCACAGTCTGGAGATCACTGCTTAATGATGGTACAATCCGCCAGCTGTCAGTGTACTTATTTTGGGTTATTCATAGTTTAAGACCACAATATATTTGACAGCCTTTGAAGAGTTGAGGGTAATTGCTACTTTTCATCATGGTCACTTGGAAACCTCAGCCCCTACCCAGAACAGTGTCATTTGAGACGCCTGTACCAACTACTACTTGTTCATGAAATTTCACTTGAAATATATTTCTTGGACTGACTATAAAATAAAAAAGCCTTTTCTAAAATGAATCTAAATATATCATGATAATGCTAAACCAATCTATTTATCCCCAAACTCACCTTTTTGATCTTTAGATAACTCTCCTGTCACCATGAACAGTTGACTACTACTAGTGCTAAGGAACAAATGATTTTTCAGTTCCAAAAAATTCATTTTCAGTGAACCTAAACCCAGCCTATCCAGGGAAGAACGAGAGCAGCACTATCTGGAAATGAAGTAACTGTCTTAGACTCCTGTTATTAGGCATTCTTCAACGAAGGATGGTGCAGAAGGCTGAACCTGTACCCCAAACCTGAGAGGAGGACCTACTCACTAAGCCTCAGAGCAGCTCTCCTGTTGGAGCTGTGCTATTTTTGTACAACATGTTGGAACCAAGGTACTCCATGTTCCTCGGTGTCCGCCATCCCCCCAACAGCTTGTATTTGTGGTTGCTTGCGTAAAGGACATTTCAGGGTATTAGAGAAGATGAGAGAGCTTCTGCAGAGAGAAACCCCAGCAGCTCAGCTTCCCCTACAGCCAGAAAATACCCTGACTCAGAGAGGATTTTCCCACAGCCTAAGTTGTCCTGGTTTCTACTATTAAGTTACTATTCCCCATTGTCTCCCATCCCCATTTTGTGAGTGATGACCATACTTTGTGAATCTTGGAAAATTACAACAGGGGTGCTGGTTTTGGTTTCAAGGGATTGAAACGGCTGTTCCAGTATTTCTGATGACTTCTTTCAGCTCAACCTACAATGCACATGAACAGTTCTGACAGACACTGGCTTGTTTGTCTCTTGATCAACATTATGAAAACCTTGTTTGTATTAGCTCTGCTGGGATGATATGATGAGGTAGGATGAGAGGACCTGTTACTCTAGTTATGCGGAAATATATTAACCAAATGGGAAGACTCTGTAATGCTTCTTGAAGCCACTCAGGTTATGAATCTATCCAATATCCTTCATCACAAGTATCTCTCCCTAACGTATTGCAGATCCATTTCGGGCTTTGTGATCTGCTTTATCCCAAAGGACTGTGATTATTCTTGGCACTGAACAAAATGTATTTTGAAATGTAGCTACTTTGAAGATTCAAACACATTTCACACTAAAAAGGAGGTGGGCTGGAGCTGTGGGAGGAACTGGAGCACAGGGCTAATACAACTGTATTAGCTGGGTTGAAAGGATGATGACAGATGCAGCAATTTCTCTGTAGTGGGAAGCTTTGTGTTATAGTCTTCTTCTTCAGACACTGTGGACTGCTATCCTCCACTCTGGGGCTGACAAATGTTTGGATCAGTGCAGCAGAGATCCTGTTCTATGGAGCAGCAGATGCCAACTTCTATATGGCAGCACTCAGGAAATTTTTCACCCTTTCACTGAAAAGATCTGTTTGCTCATTCTGAAGACACAAATAACTTCACACTGCACTGGGAAGATCAGTAAGTGGGAGGAGAGGGTATGGACTCTAGTGGGGAAGCATATTAAACACTCTCTAATTGTTACTGCATGACTGTTTTTTATAAACAAGTTGCTTAATGTTGAGTCTCAGTATTCACAGGCGTAAAGACTGATGCCATTGCAATACAGAACAGCATCTTGAACAATTGGAAAAGATTTGCCTATGAGGGAAAAAGATAACCCAGCTCTTTCACAGTTCTGGCTGTATCACACAGTGTCCTGGCTGTATCAGAGAAGACTCATCGTTCTTAGTTATAATCCTTCAGAATGAAAAGAAATGGCTAAGTGGCGGACAGAATAGACACAAAATGTAATAAGGGCTTTTAATGACTGTTGCCAGTCAAAGCAAATATGTTTACTGCATGTTAAGGTGCTCCTTCTTTTCAAAGATTTGATTTCCTTCAGTGCCCATGGCTCAATCCTGACCTCTGCTCAAAATAAGTAAATCTTTGAACCAAATGTGCACCACCTTCTTGGAGAAAGCCCAAGAAAAGAGCTCAGCTTTTCAACACAGTGTATGGCAGCATTTTACAGGTTTCTTCTTCACTACAAAGAGAGATTAGCTGTAGCCCATATCTGCATCTCCTACCTGCTTTAATGAAGGCATACCCGGCTCTTTCTTGGCTTGCCAGTAGAGAGGGCCATCGAGTTGCACAGAATATCAAGTTGCTTACCCTTTTCACCTTGTACAACCTTTCCCAAACCCTTTCAATGACTTTTACATCTGTGGCTACCATTCACCTAAAATGATGGACCAGAGCCCAACTTCATGCAAAATTAATCATTTGTCTATAAACCAACCCATTCCTGGAGATGAAATCATGCAGCCACTTCAGTGAGGAGCTCCACCCACACCATGCAGCTCTGTTGCGAAGCCATGTCACCACTGCATAGTGACTTGTGATGTAGCACCTTTCTCTTTTCACATCTCAAAGAGACACTTGTCCTTTGGCTATTGCCAAAAGACCTTAGTGAGATCACTGCTTTAGTGTGATAGCGAAGCTTATGCCAGCCTTTCTCCATCTCTTTTTCTCATAGAATCATAGAATCTTTTCTCAAAGGCCTGAGAATGCACTGAAATAGCACAGACTGCACCAGGATGGACTAGGATGGTGGAGCTTTCCAAGAAGATCATAATGAAAGACACTGGCAATTCTGCACAATAGTTTCAGCCTGGGAGTACAGTGTCTTAATGCTGAGAGTCGATCCCTTGGTTAAACAACTGCAATGAATTTCAGGCTGGGCAGTGGGACTTCTACCTTTCTTTTCACAAAGCAGAAGATACCTGCTGCCTAAGAATCCAGAGAATACTTGAATCTTAACAGCTTAAAAATTAAGTCATTGGGTTTTCACCACAACTGAAAACCAGTACTTTTTTTACTCACCAAAAGGTTATACAAATAGATCAATAAGATTTGTACAGCTCAACTGAAACTGACTCAAATCCAGAAATTTTTCCAATTGCAACAGGCTTCAGAGCAGGTTCATAAACCTCCTAAGGGTTTTTGAGAAACTAAAGTCTTTCTGTAGGCAGCTGAAACGTAAAAAGCACATATTATTATTCATATCTGAGTCAGATACAGACGGCTATGCTCATGCCTTTTATTTATTCCAGCAAAGATATCTTCTGTTCTGATGAGGTTGAAAAATTCTGATGATGTATGGTTTTATGGAGAAGAAAGAAGTCAGATGAGGATGACTGTTGTCTATCTCCCTTATTAATACTTGATGATATAGTACGTACATTCCCAGACACATAAAAGAGTCCTTCAGACTTCAGAGGCTTCAAAGAGTATGTGACACACAGCACCTTAGCTTTGTATAGAATCACAGAATCGTTAGGGTTGGAAAGGACCTTAAGATCATCTAGTTCCAACCCCCCTGCCGTGGGCAGGGACACCTTATGCTAAATCATATCAGCCAAGGCCTCGTCCAACCTGGTCTTGAACACTGCCAGGGATGGAGCATTCACAACCTCCCTGGGCAACCCATTCCAGTGCCTCACCACCCTAACAGGAAAGAATTTCCTTCTTATAGCCAACCTAAACTTCCCCTGTTTAAGTTTTAACCCGTTACCCCTTGTCCTATCACTACAGTCCCTAATGAAGTGTCCCTCTCCAGCATCCCTATAGCCCCCCTTCAGATACTGGAAGGCTGCTATGAGGTCTCCATGCACCCTTCTCTTCTCCAGGCTGAACAGCCCCAACTTCCTCAGCCCATCTTCATACAGGAGGTGCTCCAGTTCCCTGATCATCCTCATGGCCCTTCTCTGGACTTGTTCCAACAGTTCCATGTCCTTTTTATGTTGAGGACACCAGAACTGCACACAATACTCCAGGTGAGGTCTCACAAGAGCAGAGTAGAGGGGCAGGATCACCTCCTTCGACCTGCTGGTCACGCTCCTTTTGATGCAGCCCAGGATACGGTTGGCTTTCTGGGCTGCAAGCGCACACTGCCTGCCCATGTTCATTTTCTCATCAACCAACACCCCCTAGTCCTTCTCCACAGGGCTGCTCAGAATCTCTTCTCTGCCCAACCTGTAGCTGTGCCTGGGATTGCTCCGACCCAGGTGTAGGACCTTGCACCTGGCATGGTTAAACCTCATGAGGTTGGCATCAGCCCACCTCACAAGCGTGTCAAGGTCCCTCTGGATGGCATTCCTTCCCTCCAGGGTATCAACCGAACCACACAGATTGGTGTCATAGGCAAACTTGCTGAGGGCTGGGTCTAACCCTAACCCTAACCCTAACCCTCATTCTGACTGTAGGAGTGTTAGAATATATATTTATTCTCCTGGTTTGTCATGAAAGCATGTTGCACTTGAATACTTCCACACATTTATTAAATAATAACTGCTTAGCTCTGTGAAAACCGTGGTTTGAAACTGCCAATTTCAATCTGTTTCACTGATTCTGAATGGTCATATATGCATGTATATCTCTAAGCTGGAGGATAATAAAATCAATTTGACTGAAAATAGGTTT